CCCAGTTTGGTGCTGGAATCTCTGTCGAGAGAGAATGGAGTCCAGCATCCACCGTGTCTAACCTGTGATTTAGAACCCTGAGGCCGTCTCAGGGTAAGGCTACCCTGCCGTCACGGGGCGCATTTGCAGCTCAGGTGGATGTTACTGAGCTAGCTTTGCTCTCGTTCACTCAGGTAGTGGAACGGTGAAGCTGCCGTAGCACACACGTCAGTATAGGCTGTACAAGTCCCCAGAACCCCAGGTTATTATTCAGGCAGCTAACCCATGCTGCCATGGCTTCACATTTACCAGTATCCGAGCTAGGTAGGTTAAAAGGAAACGAATGCGAGTATGTCTACGAGAGCTGCCCCCACACCCCGTGACTGCAGGGTAAACATCCCCGCAGTGTCACCGTGTTTCCAAAGCACAGGCCCCAGCTCTGCTAGGAAGTGATGTGGTGGACAAATGTACAGAACAGAGATTCTGCTAGGTTATGCTGGTGTCAATCCAGAGTGACTCCCCTAAGTAGATAAGTCTGATTCTGATCTGACTTACACCAGGGCAACTCCATTTATTTCTGTGAAGTTACTCCAGATTTACACTGGGGTCAGTGAGAGCAGTATCAGAATATAAGCGCCAGAACCCAGTCCTGCCACAGGAAGTAATTTTCCCAAAGGCAGGTGTACATTGTGCAGCCAGGGACACCGGTTTCCTCCAGAGGAAGAAAAGCATATCCCTGCACTAGCTATCCAGTGCTTGAAACGCACTGGACACATTTCCCTGGTGGGAGCCAGCCCAGTTGAACATGGACTGAAGAAGCACCAAAATTACATGGACCAAGATTGTGAAACATAATTAGTGTTTTGGGGGTCCAACTTGAGACATCTTCCAGGGGTCTGATTTTCACAGGCTGGATTCAAAGCCCACATAAGTCAATGGATGTCTTTCCATTAACTCTAATGGGTCTTGGATCAGTCCCTTAGGGCATGGGGTGATTCTCAGGTTGGAACTAATGGGGATTTTGCCAGTAACGTCACCGTGGGTTGGGTCAGCCCTCAAATAACTGTATGGCTCTCGAGGGTGCTGCAAGAGAAGGAATTCATGCAGCACAGCTTCCACCGAGCTCCATGGGGCCACGAGGACTTCCCCAAGGGTCTTCCTCTTTCCAGTTGGTCGGAAGAAGGAGGAACTCTCCATCCGGGGCTTTATTCAGCCTCTGAACTCAATCTAAGAAATTCAGAAAAACACCTAGTCCTCCCTGGAATGCCAGAAGAAGAAGAGGCCTGTCCACTGGCCCAAACCCTGAAAGAGAAGCCAACAGACAGGATTGTGTATGGAAAGATCTTGAATTTCCTTCCAGCGTATCCTCATGGGCCCAGCTTGCTAAGTGCTTTCAAAGTTCCAGAGTGTGGTGGAATCTAATCACGTGGCATCAGGTTCTCCGGCATCATGGAGATGAACACAGTGTGAACCTGCAGCCCAGAGAGAGGTTGACGAACCTGCTGCAGGCTTGGCTAACAGAGCAGTGTCTTTCATCTCAGGCTCATGTGTTAATAATCAGAGATCTTAGGTTCAGCGCCACTGCTGATAATCCCCCAAGGGGCATGGTGTTACAGCTCCCTACACGGGATCAGAGGAGCTGATGACACAGAACTGCTGTGTCCCACTGTATATGCTGAGACTTAGGGATTTGACTGCCAGTGTAATTGATGGTGCAGTATTAGGGGGTTTCAAAGGTGCTGGTTACTCACTTTCTGATCGATTGAATTGGTGTTTTACCTTCTTGCCTTTGCAAAACCCTCCTAGAAGCCAGAAAATAAAAGGCCAGATCCTCAGCTGGTGTAGCTAGGCAACTGGAGTCAATGGAACCATGCCTATTTGCACCAGCTGATGTTTTGGTCCCAACTTGCTCTTCTGAGTAACTGTGACTTTTCACCCTAGGCAGAGTCTGACATTCCCCACCCCCCACCGTGTTTTGAAGCCAGGGTCAGTTGGTGCCATTGACAGTCCAACAGTTGCAGAGAGAAAAGGAGGACTCGTGGCACCTTAGAGACCGACCAATTTATTTGAGCATAAGCTTTCATGAGCTACAGCTCACTTCATCCGATGCATTCAGTGGAAAATACAGTGGGGAGATTTTATATACACAGAGAACATGAAACAATGGGTGTTACCATACACACTGTAACAAGAGTGATCAGGTAAGGTGAGCTATTACCAGCAGGAGAGTCGGGGGCGGGGGTGACCTTTTGTAGTGATAATCAAGGTGGGCCATTTCCAGCAGTTGACAAGAACAGTGGGGGGGAAATAATCAAGGGGAAATAGTTTTACTTTGTGTAACGACCCATCCACTCCCAGTCTTTATTCAAGCCTAAGTTAATTGTATCCAGTTTGTATCCCCCCGCTCTCCTGCTGATAATAGCTCACCTTTTCTGATCACTCTTGTTACAGTCTGTATGGTAACATTCATTGTTTCATGTTCTCTGTGTATATAAAATCTCCCCACTATATTTTCCACTGTATGCATCCGATGAAGTGAGCTGTAACTCACAAAAGCTTATGCTCAAATAAATTGGTTAGTCTCTAAGGTGCCACAAGTCCTCCTTTTCTTTTTGAGGATACAGACTAACGCGGCTGCTACTCTGAAACCAACAGTTGCAGCTTACTCTGACACTGAACATTTGTGAGTGTGTACTAACACTACCAAGGGTGGTTGGATGGCACACCCATGACATGGCTGAGCTGGGAGAGGAGCACCGACTACCAGGACAATGGCTTCTCCTGTACTGGCTCCTACAGAATTGGCGCCCTCCTCTTCTCTTTCATTGCACTCATTTCTTCGTAGCTGCCAAATGTTGTTTATGGATCCAGAGGTGCAGGACTTTTTAGGGAAGCATCAGCTTCCCACTGGCTCCAACCTGCGAACAATGGCAGATCCGATGGCAAAAGATGCCAGAGAACAAAATCTCACAGACTGCTCCCAAAGTCTGTCTCTTGCAGCCGGTGGAATGGGCCGGCTGGTGCCAGAGTAGCTGTGATGTTCCCCTGGTGTTATCGGACCGGTGATCTGTTAGGTCACTCCAGTCCTTGACTCTGGGAGCCAGCCTTACCCGGCTCTGCTGTGAGAACCCAAACTCCTGGGCTGTTCATACACAGCCTCTGGCATGTAAGATGCTCCTTGGATTGTGCAACCGAATGACACTAGCCAATATCTCCCAGACACAACCCTAGGAATCTCCATCTTGCAGTGTCCAGTTATGCCCGCTGGATGCTGCAAGCTTATATGCATTCATCAATTTAACAAAGAAACTGATATGTACCAAGCCTGTTATCCCAAGGGGAATTTCTGACATGCTTCAAACCAAATGCACTGCTTCAGGTAGAATAAACAAACAGATGTATTAAATACAAAGATTGACTTATATTCACCAAAAATCTAAGCAAAACAAGTTGGATTTGGTCAAATAAAATAAAAGCAAAACACATTCTAAGCTGATCTTAACATTTTCAGTGCCCTTACAAACGTAGATGCTTCTCACCACAGGCTGACTGGTTGCCCTTCAGCCAGGCTCTCCCCTTTGATCAGCGCTTCAGTCGCTTGGTGGTGATGTCTGTAGATAGAGGTGGAAGAGAGAGGAAGAGCATGGCAAACGTCTCTCCCTTTTATCATGTTCCTTCTTCCCTCTTGGCTTTGCCCCCCACCCTTCAGAGTCAGGTGAGCATTACCTCATCGCTGTTCCAAACTGTCCAAAGGAAGTGGGGTGACTCACTCAAGAGTCCAACAGATCCTTTGTTGCTGCCTAGACAGTGTCCTTTGTTCCTGTGACGCTGGACTGAGTTTGTCCCATACATACCAACTGCCCCTCTGCTCTTGAAGAGTATTTTTCTGGGCTTGTTTTAAGCCATGAGGACACATTTTCAGCCTCATAACTATATACATGAAATTACAACCTATAACATAACATTACTATAACAACAATGCTCAGTGCATCATGAGCCTTCTGAAGACACCCGACATGATAAACTTTGCATTGGATACCACATAATCATATTATAAGGATGAATATGGGGGTGCAGGGTATTCCCCCAAGGTACAGATCATCACAAACATATTCATAGAATCATAGAATATCAGAGTTGGAAGGGACCTCTGGAGGTCATCTAGTCCAACCCCCTGCTCAAAGCAGGACCAATCCCCGATTTTTGCCCCGATCCCTAAATGGCCCCCTCAAGGATTGAACTCACAACCCTGGGTTTAAGCAGGCCAACGCTCAAACCACTGAGCTATCCCTCCCTGAATGGCAAGTTTTCCAATATTAGTGTTCCCAAGTTTTATCAATATCTGGGATCAAATGATCTCAAACTGAAGTCCTTTGCATCAAGAATTCTTTCCATGGTTGAGAGCACATATGTGCGCAAATCATAAATATCCACACATTTAAACTATGTTCTCCACAGACTTACTCCTGAATTCTATACTCAAGATAGCCTCAGCCCAGTGGTTTGCTCCAAATGTTGACGCATTGGTTCATGCTAAGATGTGCCAGGTATCGGGGAGCAGCTGTCCCTAAAATCAAAAATAAATGTCAATAATGACAAACATGATCTATTTCTATTTTAATAACATTTGCTGAATGTGGCAGGGTATTGGAGCAGGCCCCGCCACATGAAAGGAGTTTGACACCCTTGCTTGAAACTAATGACAGCCATAACTCTGCACCACTCTTCTGTCTGGAAATCTTAACTGCTTTGCTGCAAAAGTTTTCTTTCTTTCCCGGGAGAGCTGTATCCTGGCTACCCTGTACCTCCTCATTTTGTTACTGAAAGCTCCTTTCTCTCTTTCTCTTGCCACACGCTTTAACCTTGCCAGTGCCCTTCTTGGAAGCATTTCAGAGATTAGCACTCACTCAGCTGGGCTCTTCCTTCATGCATCAGGCCTCTTGTGCCCTCTTATCAGACAGCGGGGAGAGGTGCTCACGCTCTGCTAACCCCACGTGCTGCCGCGCAGCCTGCATCTGCTGTTTGTCTGATAACTCGCTCGCTGGAGCTGAAGTGAGGCGCTTGTCCTTTGCTGCTGCCCCCTGATTTACGCAGTGGCTTGGCACCGTCGTATTTGCATTTTCTCTGGTAGGTCGTTAACATGTATTCGGTGATCTCACCCCGCGTGGCTGCTCAGGGCAATTCACGGTGGCAATTCAGAGTCACTCCTAGTGACAACGAATAGTCATTGGGCCAAGGAAAGAGTGTGAGACAGATTCTACAGCTTGGTGATCAGGGCATTTACCTAGGATGTGGGAGACTCAAGTCCCTGCCCCAGTGACTACTTAATTATTTACAAAAAGTGAAACAGCTTCAGCAGGAAAGATTGAGGGAGACCCAGAGGCGAGATACTCTCCTGGAACATGGGAAACCCACATGCCAATCTTTCCTCTAGGTGAGGGAGAGGGGTGGAATTGAACTTGGGTCTGCTACAGCCCAGCTAATGCCTTAACCCCGGAGGTAAAGGCTACCCCTGCCTAGCTGCTGCCTTATGAACAACAAAATTGTCTGAAACGTGTCCGCAAACTCATATCAAATTTGTGACTAATTCCAGGTCGACCGAAAGTGCATTTTTCAGCTGATGAACTGTGTGTCAGAAAAACTTCTCCCACCTCGACCCTGACCATGCACCTGGCTGGGGGAGAAAGGCCTGCCCCTCCAGTCCCTTCGAGACTACCTGCATCACCGAACAGGGTGCTCCTCCCTCGTTGGCACAGACGGACAGGAACTGGGAAGGCAGGGAAAGAGTGTGGCCAAGCCCTTGGCTCCAGCCCCCCAGGATGCCAGCCAATGGCACTGCGGGGGAAGCAATGCATTGCGTCATTGAAAGAGCCGCCACACCTCCGTGGAGCAAGGGGCCGCAGGCACTAGGGGAGGACGCCGCTGAGTCGCCATTCACGCAGCCTGTCACACTGACTGAATGGCCCGGGGACGAGACAGCCCTTCATTCCTCGCGCCGCGCACTTGAAACCCCGCCTCGAGTGTGACTCGGCTGCTGCAGGCCAAGCTTTGGCTGGCTACGCTTCGCTTGCCGGAAGTGCCAACCGGCTCATGCTGTGTTTCTAAACTTATTAACTAAATTACTCACGGCGCTTTCTGTTCTCCTAGCGCCCCAGCCAGAGCCCAAGAATATTTTCCTTGGCTTTGAACTCCCCCCGCCCCACACGCTCCATGCACAAACGACAGGAGGAGTGCATATTAGACACCTAAGCAGGCCGTCGGGGTAGAAGGTCTCAGGCTACATGGCCACAAAGTCTCAGGCGCTCACTTGAACTTAGAGGGTAGGTCTACACTGCAATGAAAAACCCGCCAGCTGACTCTGGCTCGTGGGGTTCGGGCGAAGGGGCTGTTTAATCACCTGCTGGCTCCGGCTGCAGCCCCCCCAAGCTCCGGGACTCTCCCACCTTGCAGGGTCCGAGAGCCCGGGCTCCAGCCGGAAGCCCAAACGTCTACACCACCGTTAAACAGTCCCTTAGCCCGAGCCCCAGGAGAGCGATTCAGCTGGCATGGCGGGTTTTTCATTGCAGTGCAGGCATACCCAGTGCCCCACTGGCCAAAGCAGCCGTGGTCCTGGCTGCACGAGTTACAGGCAGCGTTAGTCAGGCCCTTAAGAACCTGACTCTGCCCCAGGCTGCAGCTTGGATAGATGAGGGGTCAGCCTTAGGCTTAGCCCAAGGGCCTGGTGTTGATACTTGGCCCCATCAAGCTCCATACCCATCCCCGCTGTCGTGCCCCACAGGGGTGGGCTTGCTGCAGAGGCCACCCGCTCTGCCCCTCCAGAGCGGGGAGCGCCCCACACGTCACGACAACCCCTGCAGCAGCACTGAGGGGGCTCAGGGGAGAGCCCAGTCCAAGCTCCCTCCTCCAGAAGAGAGGCAGAGCAGGGAGAAGAAATACCAGTGAGGCCATGGGGAATTTCCACAGCAGCCGTGACTCCTCCGGCATCTTCAGGCACAACACCCTCGTCGTTTCTGTGGACGGTTGGGGATTCTGGGAGAGACTAGACCACTATGGTGGGGGGCAGAGGGTAGGGGAGGGATGGAACGAATGGAGAGGGCCAAATTCATCCTCGGTGTCACTGTACTGAGCTGGCTGCAGTTACACTGGGACGGGGGAGCTGAGATGGTGCAAGCTGCCTACGGGGTTTGGGTGCCCAGTTCCCGTTAAAATGGACAAGATTTGGGCATCCAAGTCCCATCAGTGGCTTTGCAAGCTCAGCCAGGACAGGACAGACTGTCCGGGGAGCTCTGATCGGCTCCAGGGAGGGGCCTTGGTACTTGCCCAGGGAGTACCTCTCCTGCCTGAGCGGGGCTGTTCTCAAAGGGACAGGAACATGGAGCCCCATCCCCTAAGGGGCAGGAGCCTAGGGAAGCAGGAAGGGGCAAGAAGAGGAGAGGAGATGTGGTAGATGGAAAGTGAGGAAGATGAAGGGGGCAGCGGAGGGGCAGGGCAGCACACAGGATCAGGCCCCAAGGGGTTGTATAGCAAACGGCTGAGCATTATGGCACAATTTGTTCTCAAGTTAGAGAGGGCCCATCCCTGCAAAAGCCCCCGCCCCACCCCCCCGGGGCAGAGTCCTTACCCAGCCTTGCAAGCAAGCTGCACCCCTTTCACACACCCCACCCCCTTTGTGCACCCACACAGGCCAGGTGCCGTCCGGCCCTAACAGCTCATGTGCCGGAAGAAAAATGTGCTAGATCCACAACTGGGCCCGATTCTCATTCACACTGGAGCTACTTTCCACTGCCAGAGCAGTGTGAATGCGACCCAGGGCCTGCTTATTTATATTATCTCCAGGGACGATGGGACAGGTCCCCAGCTAGTGTAAACTGCCAGCGTTCAGTGGAGCTACGCTGATATGCTCCCCGAGGACGGGGGAGGGGGCAGTTATTCATTGTTAACAGAGAGTTGTCTGTGGGTCTGTCTATGCTACTCACTGACAGAGTCACTGTACACTGGTAGGCACACCCATAACTAGCTTGAATCTAGCTAGCAGAGGTCACAAGCGTAGTGCAGGCTGGCACCCGAGTACAAGCCCATCAGGAAGTCGAGTTTCTAGCCCATGTTGACCCCTGAGCCGCCGTATCTTCACTACTACGTTACCCGCCCTGGCTCGATTAAAGCTTCACTGAACAAACTTGGGGGCTCTTCCTGGTTGTGTGTAACCAGAGAACTGACTCCACCACGCATTAGGGTCCTGGCCGTCCCAAGGCGTTTGCAGCTCCATTCCCCTTGACTCTTTCTTTTTCCGGGCTGACGTGCTGCACGTGTGCACCCGGTCTGAGCAAAGCCCGTCGGCTTTGCCCTGTCCTGTGACACACACACTTTTCAGAGCTACCAGGGGATGCATCTGGAAAATAGTCTCTTCATGCCAGTCTTTGCCTGGATCTAAGCCAATGAGGTCTGTTACATAACGGCTGTATGGTGACGGGAACATTTCACACTCGTAGGCTTAAAGGGAAACAATGTGGTTTGTTTTTTTTTATTTTATTTTTTTCCTTTAGATGAAAATTTTTATTGACATCCTTAACAAAGTAACAAAAGGTTATGATCTCGATCTCTCCTTCTTGCCTTTGCACAAGGCTAAGAGGGAAACATTGCCTACTTTGACTTTAAGAACAGCTGGATAAGGTGCTCAGACCAGATCCTGAGCTGGTGTAAATCAAAAGTCGGTAAAGCTGGGGCAGTTTACACTAGATGAGGACGAGGACAAGCCCTATTTCCATATAGATGGCATTAGCGCTGCAAGCAGGCACCCCATTGTGCCAGGCACTGCCCAGACACCTAGTGAGAGACAGATCTTACAATCTACACAGACAAAGCAGGCAGCGGGGGAAGAAACAGAGGGAAAGTGATTGGCCCAACCGTACCTGAACCAGGAATAGAACCCAGCTCTCCTGCATCCCAGGCCAGTCCAGTGCCCTCTCCCCTAGAGAGCACCTCCTCTTGGCAGCTTCTTTTTAAGTGTACCCATTACAGAGGAAATTCACCCCAATGAACAGGCTCAGCCCGAGAGCTATGCACCATATGAGCCGCACTTAAGTCCTCACTCTATAATGGCTTGGAGCAGGGGTGTTCCCATTTACTCAACCCAGTGGCTGAGAAAGCCCATTTCTCACCCTTCGTCATCTCTTGGGTGAATATGGAAATAGAGATTTTCATTTGGGATGGGCATTTTCTGAGCCTCCCTGATGGAAAAGTGACACCTATTAGGATGAGAGCCCCACGGGGCGAGGTGGAGCCAGCGGGAATTTTTTGACACAATTTCTTTCGAGGGAAAATGCTGATTCATCCAAACGAAAACTTCTCATGGCTATTTATGTCTCACTGACACTTCCTCGGGCCCAGGATGGAAGTGAGTGAGCACCCCAGTTCCAGACTGCCAATCGCTTGGTGGTGAGGGTGCTCACGTGGGCTGGAAAAGACCAGCTTTGAGACCCTGCTCTGCCTGCATCAGAGCCCAGGGTTGTGAGTTCAATCCCTGAGGGGGCCATTTAGGGATCTGGGGCAAAAATTGGGGATTGGTCCTGCTTTGAGCAGGGGGTTGGACTAGATGACCTCCTGAGGTCCCTTCCAACCCTGAGATTCTATTACCTGAATCTGGGTCTCTCCCATTCCAGGTGAGTGCCTAGACTATGGGATCTTTCTCTTGCTGGTTTTTCATTAAAAATTTCCACAGGTCTTGGGTTGGTCCTGACGCGAACAGAGCCTCTGATGTTTTTCATGAAACCCAATTCTTGGTTGCTGGCCAGCCCGAGTGCTAGGCATACTATACTTCTACATCATGAAAGACGCTCCTTGCCCCAAAGAGCTTATAGTTTAAATAGACAAGAGAGACAAAGGCTGTGAGAGGCAAAGTGATGTGCCCAAGATCACGGTGAGGACTGGACACAACTCCTCCAAGTCTCATTCCAGAGCCCTAACTATTGGACCACATGACACTGTCCATCTTATATGTCCTGCAACCCCATCTGAACCCAACAGGACCCAACGACAAGTGTCAGGTTTGAGTAGGATCAGAAAACAACCCAACCCTCTCCGGCTTGGTTTGGGGCAGTTCTCCTCCTCCTACCCCTGGGGTGGGTGTGGGGGCTGCACACCCCGTTCCTGCCAGCCGCTGACACCTTGCTACACCGCGTGTGCAGCAGAGTTAGTGCACAGGGGAGTCACAGATCCTCTCACTGCCCGGCAGAAACCCAGCGCAGCAGGGGACTGCATTCACCGTTGCCTGAGGTGATGCTGACTCAGGTTCGGGTCAAAAAGCAATTCAACTCGCTCAGTTTGGCTTCGACCCAGACAGCCCTCTGCCCTGGACGTTATGGGAAGTGATGTCAGATAGCTTGAACCCAGTTTCCATTCTGGGTAAACAGGGAAAACTTCACCACACCCTATGAAATACTGAGCTCTTCTGCAGATGCTTTAGTCATGAAGCAGGATGGAAACTGGTTTATTTCACACTGTAACTCTCACAGATGATGTCATTTTATTTCCCCTGCAAGACGGTGGCCAAAATCCGGCAGCTCAGAAACGCCAATTTAATTAAAAAAATTATTCCAAGTATTATTCACAGTTAATAGCTGGCACGAAATACTCACCAAGTGAACTTGCAGATCACTGTCCTGCAGAATAGGGGACGATTTCTTTTCAGTATGTGTGTGTATAAAACCGTCTTGGACTCCATTGATGTATGAAAATTTTAAACCAACAGGCACTAATTGCAACATATCACTTGAGTACATTTTAGCACCCTGGAGCCCTCAAAAACATCTCTTACATTGCGTTGGCATAACCGAAGGAGACAGGGGAACATACAAACCTTCCATTCCATTAGCACTGGAAAGAATGGCGAACTCCATGGTTAGGATAGGGCGCAGACTATTGCAGATTACGGATTGCTTCCTTGATAATAAATCTAATGTCACGAAACAGTGCATATTAGATATTTTACTTTGCGGTCCTGGCTAGTGCAAATTGTCACTGCTCCATTGATTTGTCCTAGACGAAAATATGGCCCCTAGTCTGTAAAATAGTCAGACCTAAAGACTAGATATGGGGCTGATTCTCCTTCTACATTGGTGTATGTCAGGAGTAAATCCATTGTCTCCTATGCTGCTGTAAAAC